TTATAAAGGTTATTTAATGTGAATAAATGTTATAAGGACTTTAAGCAAGATCATTTTTTGCTGTTTTCCTGAATGAACTTTGCAGTGAAAATATATTTATCTTGGAATGGTTTATTTTGCACCATTTATGTTAATACCGTTACTTGTTCTTTACCAGCAACAGGCAAATTCAATGACATCCACACTAATAATTCCAAGTATTCCAGATATTTTGGCTGGTTTAGACCAATTCTGTGGAAGAGAAGATGATGCATCTCTTCAAACATATAGCTTGTTTAAGTGGATGGACTGACACTGAGAGTCTGCCTATGGTTAACATTAAACTTAAAAACAGTGCTAGATATTGGTAAAAATCTACTGGAAGTATAAATGTGAAATGAGTGGTAGCTGCATTTAACAAATGGTTATGTAACTACCACTACTACTCATTCTACATTGCTGATTTGTGGCAAGAAATGAAAGCATACATCCAACATAGAGATGAAATTCAATCCATACATGCAGGATAAGGAACATATGATTGAAATTTAATGTAAATGAGACAAAATATGAAATTTAAGTAAAATATGTAACAGTCAACTGAGTCAAGCTAAACTGGATAAACAGCACCTCTCAATGAACAAGCTACTTAAGGATATCACAGTTCACGAACAATTTGCTAAGAACTAAGAGAGACATTTTGAACCTCTTAATCAAAAGATCAACCATAAAAGAAAAATGGATGATAATTTAATGGAAAGAAAGTCTAAAAGACCAACACCTGCTCAGAATAATAGAGCCTAACCAGAAGATACTCTACATCCCTTAAGCACAACAGTGAGTGTTATGGTTATCAAATATATGGATATATCATTTAAGATTGCAGAAGTCTCAAGTCATGAAAATTATTACACTAAATGTAAAAAGACAGATTACAGCACAAGAGATCATATAAAGATAGTCTCCTTCATCCATCCATCATGTTCCTTACAATTCATTATTGAACGTCTTGAGCAACTTGTGAACGATTTTAGTGCACCTCTCTGCATCATTACTGATCAAGAAACATATTTCACTTCATGTGCATTCTCTCATTTCTGTATCACTCATGGAATTCAATGTGTGTTAATATTGAGTTAGCATCTCTAAGCAAATGGTCAAGTCAAAAAACTTCAATGTGTTTCGTTATCTGCTGACCCTTATCAAATTTCTGACTGTAGATCAATCAGTCTGGATCAAGGTAAGTTACATTACATTACCTCAATCAGTCGGTAAGTTACATTACCATAGTGCATGCTTCCAGTTAAAGCTATTTAATCTTGTAAATGAAGATGAAATTTACACTTTTTGAAGACAAAGGACAATTGCCAGCTCCAGAAAGAATCCTTATATTAGTTTATGACATGGTTGTAGAGATATCAATACTTGGAATTAGAATATCTTTATATTAAATTTTTTATTTCAAGATTACTTCTCCAGATGATAAAAAAATCCATTACGTTTGATAATCATTCATCACTGCCTTCCTATTTATGTTGTATTCATCATCTTTCATCAAATATGAATGATTATGTTTAGTTTCATTGTGAATGAAATTATTCAGTGTCAGGATCAATAAATGTAAAAATTTGTGTAAAGTAACAACTGCATAGTTGCTCTCATGGACGTGCATAGACACTTCTATGAGAGCAACTATGCCTAGCAGCCTAGGCACTTCTATGAGAGTGCCAGAGTGAGAGCGAGCACAGGAGATTTTTTGGGAGAGAATGATTGGGACGTTGTGATAAGCCGTGTATTTTTCATGTCATATATGTGAAAAAAAGAAACTTTAAGGTAACAAAGAATATAACCTAGGCAATATTCTTTGTTACCTTAAAGTTTTTCCTTAAAGTTACTTCTTTAAGGTATTCCTTTAGTTGAGAATTCAATATAATTTTGTAGTTCCAATTCCAGAGATGCATTAAAAATGATGGTTATGCATTGTTAATATCAGTTCATGTCAGTAATAAATACTTGAAAATTAGGACAATGAAATATTGGTGCTGGACATGAGCAGATAACACTGTGGAAAATTATAATATATAAAAGTATGTTAATTTAATCATCATCGAATAGAAACTTTATAAATATTATACACTTTTTATAATGTTTCCACTACAATAATAGTAACAAAATTCTTCAAATCAATAGAAAACATCACCTAAATACAACAAAACATCAGAAAATATTAGAAAAAGTTATAATATTTTTTTCTAAACTGTGTTTTGAACCACAAATACTACAAAGACAAAAAAAGAAATTACAAACATTACCAAATCATCACAGCAATAGCTGGGAAAGTTGTGCTACTCTGTAGGAATGTAAGTCATTATTTTTTATTTCAATTTTGGCACTTGTAGGGGCAGACTCTAAAATATCATTTATTTTCTATATGGGTTAGAAGGTTTCCTTTGTGAGTTGTCTGCAACAAGAACTCCAAAGTATCAGAATGGATTTATTCATAATAGCTTTACTAACTTCAAGATCTATATCCCTACTGTTTATAGGAACTTTCACACCTATTAGCTAGATTATTATGTTCTCATGATTTAAAATTACTGTACTTATGTTTACATCACCATTACTAAAGATGTTCTTTTCTAATGATAGAGATACACAGATAGTAATGGAAAAATCTGATGTATATAGCTTATTTCTCAATAAAGGAGTAAACAATACCATGTTTTATATTGGGGCACTGCTATAGCTCTCTGTACATGTATCAATGAACATAAAAGAGTTATTACAGCTAATAAGCTAAATACAACACACTCCTTCTAATCCAATGATGTTACTTTTAGCAGAAATTACATTAATTAGATATAATAAAACTTGTAGTATACCATCAACTCAAGTTTCAAAAAGCTGAAATTATGTGTTATAATTATTGATCCATGTATAATTGCATTTAATACCAATATTTTATTTAAAAAAAAGTTATTAAATACAATTATGTATGAGGGTTGTCCCAGAAGTACCCGACCTGACATAGATGGCAGTACTTGTTTGAAAAAAAAAACGACTGTGTTTGAAAGTATTAACCTTATAAAGCTTAAGTTTGAAGTTTGAAGACGTTATGTTGTATAGTATTTTTTTGGCAGCCATAAATAATGAACAATCTCAGTGAATTTGTAAACATGGAAAAAATTTATCATTATATGATACAATACTTTCATTTGAAAGGTTTCAGTCCAACCAATATTAATTAAAGCTGAGCTAGATTCTACTCTGGGGGAGTTTGCTCCCTCGTTTACAACAATAAAATATTGGGTGGCAGAGTTTAAACGAAACCGAACAAACTGCCAAGACAAACATCGTAGTGGTCGACCAAGTGAGGTGACCATGCCAGAAGAGATGGAAAAAATCCACAAAATGGTATTGGATGACAGTCGACTCAAAGTGTAAGAGCTAGCAGATATGGTAGGCATTTCAAAAAGTGCTGTACATCACATTTTAACTGAAAATTTGGACATGAGAAAGCTGTGCGCAAGATGGGTGCCGCATTTGCTCACGATGGGACAAGAACAGTGTCGTGAGGGTGTTTGAATCGAGTCTTTGGCAATGTTTTGCAGCAAGAAATCCGAGTTTTTGCGTTGATTCATAACCATGGATGAAACATGGGCCCATCACTTCACACCTGAGACGAAAGAACAGGCGAAACAATGGACTGAAAGGGGAGAATCAGCTCCAAAGAAGGCGAAAACAGTTCCATCTGCTGGCAAGGTCATGGCATCAGTTTTTTGGGATGCGCCCAGGAAAAACAATCAACAGCAAGTATTATGCGAACTTATTGCAGCGCTTGAGTGATGAAATCAAGAAAAACTGGCCACATTTGGCGAAAAAGAAAGTATTGTTTCATCAAGACAACGCACCAGTTCACACATCCGTTATTGCGATGGCCAAAATCAATGAGTTAAGGTTCAAATTGCTTCCTCACGCACCCTGTTTGCCAGATTTAGCCCCCTCGGATTATTTTCTCTTTCCAAACTTAAAAAAATGGCTTGGTGATAAATGATTTGCCAATAATGAAGAGGTAGAGTCTGAGATTGATGGCTATTTTGAGAAGCTCAACAGTTCTCACTATAAACAGGGGATCCAAGCTATTGTACATTGCTGGAAAGGGATCCAAGCTATTGTACATTGCTGTATCGAGCTAAAAGGAGACTATGTTGAAAAATAAAGATATGTTTTACCAAATTTTTTGTGTCTTTTAGGTCGGGTACTTCTGGGACTACCCTTGTATAAATCTAATTTTAAATTCAAATTGAAATTTATTCTATATGATAAAATTCTGCTGTTCTTAGTTTTTAAATCTCCATTATAAACAATGTTAATAAGAGATATTATGTACATGAATTAAATTCAAAATTCTTGAATTCATGACTTTTGATGTAGAATTTTCATTATTTGATTTCTGTCAAATAACAGAAATGCATTCACAAAATAATTATCTAAATATATTGCCGATGATTTTGTGTGTTTGAAAACAAATAAATAAAAATACAATAATTAGAATAAATTAACAACATTGATAAACCTGATTCATAATTCAAACCAAATGATCTGCCAAATCTTATCATGCCTATTGGACTATTACATGACTAAGTTAATGATTAGAATCTAATTAATTTGTCTAGAGGCAGACAATTATACCACCATCTTGTGTTATTTTTAATAATAATAATAAATTAATTTTTTAATTTAGAATTTCTTGAAGAAAAGAATCAACCCAAAGTGTAACTCGGACCCACAATTCCTGCTTACTGTGCAGATGCGTTGCCATTTATAATACCCAGACCTCTGCCAATCTTCACTTCCAGAATTATTCATTTAGATGTAACCATACTGGTTACTCATGACACCAAATCATTAACTTACCCAATAATAGCTTTTTAATTTGGCAGGTTATTTGGTTAGAATAAATTTAAAAAATAAAAATGTTCAGTAATCTAGTAAAGTTCCAAAATTTCTAAACAACTAACCTGAACTTTGTCTAATATCAGTCCTGCTACAACGGTTCCTAATCCAGCACATAAGAAAGGAATAAAAACCTGCAAAGCAACTGCTCGAATTGATTCATGTGGATGAATTTCTGTTGGAGGGTTATCTTCGTCTTTTCCACTCGTAAGTGTTAAAGTAACTTCATTAACTTCTTTGTCTTCCATTTCTACTGTTTCTTCTCGTGGACTATCTTCTCTGAATACTTGTGAGACTATACCTTTGTCTTCGTCATCTTTGGATTTCACAGTGCCATTAAGTACACATTCGCAAACTGAACTGTCATCTTCAGCTCCTGCTAGAGTAAGTGCCAACAGTTCGGCATGCTCACTATCTCCTCCAGGAAAAGCTGAAGTGGACATTTCATTCTCCATAGCAGGATGAGTAACCATTGTGGGCAGTAACTGTTCTAATACTTTATTAAGTGTTGAAGCCAGTTGTGCTGTTTAATGTTAAACACTTGTTCCCTTTACATTCTTTAAATGACTAGAAAATATAACATTTTAAAAACAATATAAATTATAATCTTTTAAATATTTTAAAGATCATTCTAACATCATTTTTTTTACATAATAGTTTCATTATAATGTGAGTGATCATATATTAAGAAATCAAAACAAATAATGATACATATTAAGAAACAACTTAAAATGTGTAGCTTTTTAGATGTGCTTTTTAAAATATTGAAACACCAAATTATATAAACATAGCTAACTCATTTGTCATGTTATATCTTAACATAACAATATATGATTTTTCAGATTGTATTTCTAAATTATGAAACTAAGCTTATAAAATATAAAAATCAACTTTTTCAAGAAACAAAATAAAAACTTTTTCTTTCTAAAACTTTGAATAAATTATATTTGAAAAACTACATAATTTTGATTACTATGTTGTTTGTACATCATACAGCATTTCTAATAATGCCATATGATACAATGTCCAATAAGGGAGAAATTGTTCTTTTTATTTTTATGGAAGAAATCTGTTTGGCATTTAATTGGTCTGCAATTTGAAAACCTTGTAGACCTATAAATTCCCACTGTCATCTGTCTGTTGGTCTTTCCTTAATTAATGTCAAGATTGATGTTAGGTAGATGAAAGTCGAGACCAGATATAGAAAGATTATGGCAGGAGACCCAAATTAACTATATATGAACTTCCAGTCCAAACTGGAAGTCACATTATTTCAATTCAAAAATTTCCCCCTGAAAGGAGTTAGATAGATGACCCGCATGATTCTATTGCTAACAGAAAAGTATGATGTACAGAGAAAAGACACTATTAATTTGAGGTGGCGAGCATATATTTTAAATTTAAGAATTATTAAAAATATGATTAAAATTTCAGCCAAGCATTGTGATGGCATCACAATAAATAATTGCTCATTATTTTAGACATTTTTTGCAAAAATCTATTGTTTCAATAATTTCAAAGTCAATTAAATACACATGTGTATTCACAACAGAATGTGTACTTATAGCTTTAGTGTTAATAAAGCTTGTTTACATCAGATCACATTATTTTTGTAATCTTGAACTCAAGATGGTGAATTCTTTATAGAACTAGCCATTGGTTCTCTAGATTCATGGATAATTCTTATTGAAGCACTTAAGCTTCTTTCATACATTATTTTCAGGTTTTACTTTAACTATAGTTTAATTACATTTTCATTGTTTTCATTAAGTACTGTACATGCCAACTGATAGTTTTTCTGAAATAGCTTAAATTACTAAATAATAACTCATAACATTAATACATTTGTTACCAAATAGGTGAAATTATATAAGATAATGTCATAATTTTATTTGAAAATTTCAAAAAATTTTTTTATTCAGTCATGTTTTTTGGTCCCTTGAATTCTGAAATAATGAGTTTTTACTGTAATAAATTTGGATATGCTTCTGAATGATTATTTTTAATAATATATTTCATCATATCAAGACCCAAACATTTGTCTTAAATTATCAACTAGAACATCTTGGTCTATTCAAATACTTCTGTTCCATCAAAACATTCTTCCAAATAAAGATACATATCTTGATAACATTTGAATAAATATTATTCATTCAAATATGTGATTTCATTCATATATAACAAACTTAAAATATTTTGATAATTTTTATAGACTAGACTTTAGCAAACACTGCTAATAATTACCTCTTACATTCTATTTTTGTTAAATGTGTATCAAATTCATATTTAAAAAAAAATGTATTTATTATAGAAAAACTTAATAAAATCATAATATATTGTATTACTTAAAAACTAAAGTCAAATAAAAAGTTAAATAGACTGCTTACTTAAAAAAACCAAACAAATATTCAATCAACATTTTTGGATTTTTTTTTGGCTTCCTTAATTAAATAAACTATCTATTTAATTTTTGATCTCACATGGTGCCAAGTTTTGCACATTTGCATAAAGTCAAAAACTAACAATAATCAATCATAAATTTAACTTTTAATTTTTCAGTTACAGTCCTATAAATGTCAGATTACTGAGGTTGTTTTCCATATCATCATAATACAGGAAAATTTAAACAATTTTTTTGTATAAATATGATGGAACTGGAAAAATTATATCTCCCTGCATCACACTATTCTATAATGTGCAAATATTTTGATAATTATGAATGTTAATTATCTGTATTAAACTTAATATAACTTTGCTCTAAACTAAAAAGAATTAATTAGTTTTATACTGTAAACAAAATTGATTATTAATAATATAATTTAAGAGAAATTGATAACACAAAACATTTTTTTTCCATATTATTAACTATACGATTATCATCTTTATAACATTTATAAATCATTTTAAAATTTCTTTTCTTCATTAATTTCCCAAAATATACTAAAATATACCATTAATATAGTAAATAAAAATATAAATTATTTGTATATATGTTATATTATATGTTGTAATACTGCATTTCTTTTAAATTTAGCAAAATGATTAAATTCAAATTATATACAATAATATAGTTTATAAATTTATTTATAAAAAAATATTATTTAAAACGACAATATTTACAAAATGTTAATTTTTCTAAGTATCTCCAAATAACCAAATTTGTATTATTTTATCTTATCATTCTATATAATACATAAAGAATTTTCAGTATTTTTAATATTACATTGAAGCCAACACTTTAAATAATAATTATAACCTTAAAGTAATAAATTTATCAACTAACTTAAGTAAAAATTAACAGCATGCTTTTGTTAATAATTATAAGTAATTCAAATTCATACAAAAATAATTAGAGAAATATCAAATGTCTATATGTACTGTACTTTAAGTTTAAATTATAAATATATTGGATCTATTAAATTAAATATAAAATATTAAGAACAGTAGTACAAACTTCAATGCTATCTGAAACATTTGAAATGGCTTGAAATTACATATGTTTTTTAGCCATTGCAAAACATCTTTAAACTTTTTACACGCATTACAAAATAATATCTCATATTGGAAATTGTTAAATATAAATATTATTATTTCTAATCAAAAAATATTGAATTTGAGATTAAATTTCCAATGATTTTAAATCTTTTCAAGAATTATTGCTAATTCTAAATATCTAAATGTTTAATAAAACTTTTATAATTATATTATAGTTTATTTAATACTACTTTAATGAATTATATACAGTATATTTAACTTCAGTTGTGATAAACATTTCAAATAATTTATTTTAGTTCTATTCTCTTATTTAATAAATATATTAAATTCTTACCTTATCACTATAATTTTTGGTGCAAGATTAATACCTTGCAGCTGTTGGCCAAAAGCTTCCCTTTGATGTGTAGTTGTCGTTAACTTCAATTAGTGGCCTTGTAGCCACCAGAAATTTAGCCACTTCACACCTCACAACTTTATCCACTGTTAAAGTTGCTTCAGTAGAAAAGATCAGCATTCCGGATACAATATGGGTACAGTTCATGACGCTGGGCTAATATTAAAATCAAATAATTAAAATCTCTTTTAAAATATTAAATTTGTATAAATAAATCAAATTTATTAAAAAGAAAATTCATATCGTTAGATACATTTTATTAAAAGTATTACCAATAAAAATTTTATGCATATATATAATTTTTACACACGCACATACGCACACACACAAAAGAAATAATGAACAGAATTGAGTGAAATGCTTTCAGTCATTATTTTGATCATCAGCTCTTTCAAAAGAAGAATCTTAGAATGCAAAATGCAGCATATAGTATTCCATACACATATTTCAAATATTTAAATTTGTAAATTTTTAGCATCTTAAAAATTAAAGAAAAATACAGGATAATTAACAATTAAAAATAATAATAATTTTTCTTTATTTTTGTTTCTTTGCAAAGAAACAGCTTAATAACAACAACACGGTTCCATCAGAATCAAAAAAAAAAAAAAAAAATTTTTCTTTATTTTATTTTTCTAAAATATTCTCATTTGTATGTATCTTAATATTAGGTTGGGGAAAAAGAAATCCATTATTTTGTCACTAGATGGCTGTAGTGATACATATCTCATAAAATATTGATGACACAAGTTCAGACTTGTGCTTATTGGAAAAGTGACATTCTGTACTAAAAAAAATTCTTTTACAGTTTTTTGATTGGTCAATTCAGTTGTGAGTTATAGGGTGTAAAAGATGGAAGTTAACAAAGAGAAAATTAGGTATGTTTTACAATTTTGCTTCGATAAAGGCGAAAATGCAAGCCAGGCAGCTGAAATTGTGAATGGTGTTTATGGTCCTGATACTGTCACAGCCAATTATGTGCAATTTTGGTTTCGTCAGTTCCGTTCTGGTAATTTCGATGTTAAAGATGCACCTCGCACAGGTAGGCCCGTTGTCGAAAATGTCAATAAAATCATGGAAATGATAGAAGTAGACTGGCACGTTAGCACTCGTAGCATTGCCCAGGAGCTAAAGATTGACCATAAAACAGTTCTAAACCATCTGAATAAAGCTGGATTCAAAAAGAAGCTTGATGTTTGGGTGCCACATGAATTGACGGAAGAAAACATTATGGATCGAATTTCCATCTGCGAAGCCTTGGCCAAACGGAAC